CCGAGCCATTCTTGCCAACTAGCAAGTGTTCGTGAGAACTTTATCTCCATTTATTTCATGGAGTTATTTCATCCTTTATGCTATATTATTATTTTACCAATTCATCCCCCAGTTATAGAACAAGGGGACTTCTTGCTAGGGTTGGTTAAATTAGTGATTTGCTTTTTGCTTAATCCGAAATATTCTCCTATTCTCACTTTATCATAGCCATCTTCAATAAGACAAAAATGCGGGCTGGCTTTGGCTGTTTCTCAACCGCCGTAAATGGTCTGCCACAAGGAGAATTGTCAGACTTGGCTTTTATGGCTAAAAATAGCATTAGTAAAATCTGGCTCATGAATACAGACCAATTTTTTTATGTAAGAGCTAACTCCTAAATAAAACATACAATTACAATCTTAAATCCCTCTCCTGTTTAATATAACTAAGGATGTCTCCTAATTCTATTTTTTGATAATCAAATTCATCCGCCAAATTACGGCGGGCTAATTGTCAAGGTTTATTTCGAGCCTTTTCAAATAATTTATATTCATCCTTAGTTTTTTTATAATTTTGGTAATTACGGCAAATTTCCTTTAAATACAATAAAACTTCTTTATTTTCTATTTCTGGAACATTAGTAAAAAGATTAGTGTAATCCCTAGCTCTCGGACATAGGCTGAAAAGCACTTTCTACGACTGAACCACCTTTTCAGGCCTGTCATTCTTCGGTAAAAAGTAAGACGTTTTTTTCTTGGAGAACTTTCAAAAATACTAGGTAAATTAACCTCTGAATGGCGGCTATGTCTTTCACCTTTTGGCTGTAAAAATATTTTGCTAGTGCCAAAGGCGGAATGTTAAGGCTTTCTAATTTTGTCTTTATTGACATTAATAATTCTGTTTATTTTTTATTCATGATTTTGCTTAGTGAACTACCCACCACTTATAGAAGTGGGAGCTTCTCAATTCTACACAGCCTCTAATGAGACTGCTCCTTGAAGGGTCGAACCGACCCATTCTGCTCGTTTCAATATATTACGAGCAGCATTTATATCTCGATTGTCTGAATAAGGGCAAAAAGAACAAGTGAACTTCCTTTGACTTAATTGGAGTTTTTGCTCTCTTTGCTTATCACATTCACTACAAATCTGACTAGTGTTTTTAGCATTTACTTCTACTCCCTGCTTACCAGTTTCTTCCACTTTGTAAGCAAGGATAGTTAGAAATAACTTTCACCCAGCATCGTTAATGCTTTTGGCTAAAAATCTATTCTTAACCATGTTTTTAACCAACCCTAGCAAGAAGTCCCCTTGTTCTATAACTGGGGGATGAATTGCTAAAAATATAATATACTTAAAGTATAAATAAAGGATGAAATGGCCTGATGCAATAAATCAGGGTAAAGTTCTAGTAGAACACTTGCTAGTTGGCAAGAATGGCTCGGTTTGAGCCTTCGGGGAGACTAGGTGATAGCCTTGTCTAGGAACCGAGAAGCCCCAACTTCTATAAGTAGGGGTAGTTCACTGGTTGTATCATGTATTTAGCCAAGAAGGGTTTCTGATATTTGGCTAATAAAGAGGATAAAAGACTAAGTAATAAGGAGAATTTTATTTATCTGAAAGAATATTGTTTGGATAAAGAACAGAGATTACGAAGTCAGCAAAGGATTAAATGAGATTATGATAAGGAGATTTTGAGAGGAGAATTATTGGATAAGTATGAAAAAGGGAGATTGTTTTTTTGTGATAGTTCGGTTAAAAGTGTAATCGAAGAGTTTATTGGGAAAGGCAAAATTTCTTAATCTTAATTTTGTTCTTCTTACAAGGAAAATTATAACCACATACCAACTTGTATACTAAAAATAATACATATATGGCAATAAGTATCGAAATTAGCAAAAAAAAAAAACAGTAAGCATAAATATTCTTCCCTCCCAGTAGTGAAGTTTAACAGTAAATAACACTATGTTCGGGATAGAAAAATTAATTAGTAAACCTTTATGGAAGTGAGTTGTGAAAGGTGGTAAAGATGATTATAGTAGAACCAAA